GTCCTCTATCTTACTTTTCATCAATGCATTGTTAGTTCAGACCCTGCTTGGTCACTTAGAACTCATTGATCAGGCTTCTCCTTGGTAACAGATAACTGTGTGTGTGTGTGTGTGAGAGAGAGAGAGAGAGAGAGAGACAGAGACAGAGACAGAGACAGAGACAGAGACAGAGAAGACAGAGAGACAGAGACAGAGAGACAGAGACAGAGAAGATTCTGGGACTTGAACTCAGGGCCTGGGTGCTGTCCCTGACATTGTGCTCAAAGTTTGAGCCTCAGCTCCACTTACAGATTTTTAGTAATTAACTGAAGATAAGTATCTGACATATTTTCCTGCATGGGTTCACTTTGAACCACAATCTTTAGATCTCAGCTTCCTGAGTAGATAGGATTACATGTATAAGCCACCTGCACCCGACTGCAAATTGTTTTCACTTACTCTTTTTCTCCTGTAACTTTCTTGTTCTTATTTTATAGATTGAGTATTGTTACCCAAAATGTTTGAAACCAGAAGTATTTCAAAGTTTGAAAATTTTATTTAATTCTGCACTAATTCTGCACTTAAGAATAAAACCCAAGCCTAAATACAAAATTTATTTCTTTCATCTATAATTTACACACATAACTTGAGTACTATTTTATGTAACACTTTTTGGCCTGTCATCTGAGGTCAAAAATAGAATTTTCTATAGTTGTGGCTACATGTCAGCATTGAAAACGTTTCCAATTTGAGAGTATTTAGGATTTTAGATTTTTCAGATTTTGAGATTATGAACTCTCAACTTATATATCAAAGTTGGTATATAATATGGACATGATGAACACACTTCTGTTTTTTGAGTCTTAGTCTTCCTAGTCTAGTCATTGAAGAATCAGTAGTAATCCCTTTCAAGTCTTCATATTACTATCACTTGTGGGTGTATGTGTTATGGTCTGCATCCTATAGCAAATTCTTCATTACCATTTGCCATTCATTCAGAGATACTGGTGGTATGTCCAATCTTTTTGCCTACATGTGTGATTTCATAATGGAGGTTTGTGTTTCTTAAAGGCTCTTGGACTGCTTAGAGTTTTGCTAACACAAAACACTTTTGGATACCACTGTAAGAAACAAATTTTATCTGGAGTGGGAAATATTTTTGTTAATAAGGAAAGAAAAGTGTGTAGGCACAAATTAATGGAGGTCATAACTTGAGTATTGCGAGTAAAGTACTGAGTTCTGATCTCAATAAGCCCCAAGTAGGAAACTTGTGTATTATTGCCATGCTGTAATTTCAGTATACTGTTCTGAGTAATGATGAATTCTTCTATACTTACATGAAACACTTTAACTTATATGAAACACATTTTTCTTGTTGGATAATCATTATTTAGTTTACCTCAGTAAAAAGTACCTATCAGGATTCTCTCTGATGCATGATTAAATTGTCAAATAAATACCAATGGAATACATATTCTCAATTGTTAACAGTAACTATGATGGTAAAGATGCAGCTAGAAACCCCTCCTCTCATGAACTAAGTAAGGTACCCCCAAACTCCTGTTTGTGAGAGGCAAATTCTCTCATTCCATTACATTGTTTTGTGGAGCATACATTACCACATTTATTTCTGAATGGAGATCTAGCTTATGCCCTATCATGTCAGTTTGGGAATGATCTTATTCCATATGCATTGTATGCAGACGGTAAACTCAGTGTTCTTTACCTTGTTAAATTCCTAAAAGAAACTGTATTTGAGGGTAGCAGACTTATGTCAAGTTTTGAGACGATAAAGGAAATTTGGTTTAAATTAAGTCTACCATACCTCAAAAGGCCTAAAGTTAGTGTTAGACAACTCTATTGAGAAAATTGATGAACAAAGTGAGTTAAGAATTCAGTTCTAGAATTCTGCCTGTACCACTGCTCTGAATCATTGAGAAACTAACTTCAAGCCTATGGCTTCTAGTTTTCTGTAGGAAAAATTAGGGTAGCAATAGCTAATACAATTGTTTATTTTGAGGGGGAGATTGTATCCAGTCATCATGTAGATTATGTAGATTGCTTAGAATTATCTAAAATATGGTAAATGTTCAATACAAATTGCAAATTAATAAAAATAAGTGTAAAGACCTTTGACTATTACCAAACTCATACTTGCATGGCTTAACTCTTGTCACTTCTTCCTTTCTTAGCATCCTGCCTCACCCCCCTGCCAAATTCCTAGTTTAATTTTATAATCCTACTTAATATAGACCATTCTTTGTTTTTCCTTTGGTCATAGGGCTTGAACTCTGGGCCTAGGTGCTGTCCCTCAGCTCTTCAGCTCAAGGCAAGCCTTCTACCATTTGAACCACAGTGCCATGTCTAGTTTTCTGGTGGTTTATTGGAGATAAAGAGTCTCATGGACTTTGCTGCACGGGCTGGCTTTGAACGGCCATCCTCAGATCTCAGCCTCTTGAGTAGCTAAGGTTACAGACATGAGCCACTGGCACCCCACTTCTGAGGCCTTAACTATATATGACCTTTAGCCTTCGGAGCTATTATTCCTAATGTCATCTTCAGACCTCCTTCTCATTTAGGACACATTCCTTTCTAAAAGGAATTCTAGAAATTACTGACTATAATGCAAATATCCATTTTATAGACATATATATGTTTGTGGGTGGGTGTGCATAAAACATGTGTGTAGTCAATTGCTTCCCGATTTGTCTGTTTTTATGCCCATAATTGATATAATATGTTTTGAAACGGATGTGTTAATGTGTTCTCACTCTTTGATTATCAGAGACTGATTTTTGTTCAGGGTCACTCACTAAATAAGTGCAAATCAGGAATCTTAACGAGGTTCTATCTGTTATCCTAAGCTCAAAGTGCCTTCCATAATTTCTGGTTGGTTATTTGTATGGCATCATAATTCTCACAGAAACCCTGTGATCTTGCAACTATTGTCACATTTTGCAAGTGGGTGACTGACACTTAGAGACATTGAGCTGACCATGATCATGCAGTGTCAGAGTCTAAATTGGACAGTTTGCCTTTTGCTTTTTCTACAACTCTGCTGGACTAACTCCCCTTTCAAAATGAAAGAAGTCAGATACATAGTCCGAGGATCCAGACTAAATACTCAGGCAGGATAATTTGTTCTAATACACTCAATTTGCAGAAGCAGTTGTTCAAAGAAAAATAACAACAAAAACAATCCCCTAAAGGAAACCAATAGGATTCTATGGGCATGTTAGCAGTTCAGCCAGGCTTAGCTTAGGGAACAGTATTAAAAGGCATTTGCCTCCCCACATTAGCCTTCCTGTTGATTCAGAAGATGCAAATGATATGTTAATGTTAAAACCACGTGGGAGAAACTATTGACATTGAGAGGAGAAATAGAAGAGCTCTACTCTAGAACACTGATCATGCAGGAACTAAACAGGCAGGTTTTTGTTTTTTTAATGGGGAGAAGTCGCAGCTCATGTTAAAGCCTAATAGTTTCCAGCACTAAAAGATAAAGAATTCAAGGATCGTGTGCCTGCATGCATGTGCATGCGCTTTCTGAGAGAAAGACACACACTTCTGAATGTCTGCCATCCTCCCCTACCCCCACCCCAGTCTAGTTGGTGACTCCCAGCTTTTTCCGGAGAGAGAAAAGACAACCACTTAGCATTCTCTGCTAGGAACTGGTCTCACAAGGTGGAGAACCTGCCTTGCACTAAGGCTCTTCAATGCCCCTAGAGAAGTGGTTCAGGGACCAGGATTTTTATTAAGCTCAAAGGATAAGAGTTGTGATCCTGCATTCTTGATTTAGAGCGACATAGGTCTCCAACAGCTCCACCTCCGTGTTTTCCAAAGGAATATATTCCTTCATGCTCCCTGCCTGATCTGAAAGGGACACAGCTTCCCCAGGATACTCCCGGGGAGAGGTGTGGGGGGTGTGGGAAGGGAGTGGATCAATCATCATCTGCTTGAATGCCTGGCTTTCCGGAAACACACCAGGTAGAGAAAAAAACCTCTGAGAAACTTGAAGATGATCTATTTTGTAACTTAAAATCGCTGCTTAACTTGAAATAAAATTGATCTTTTTTTTTCCCCCTGTGGTCATTGGGAAAATCCGTCCTGAAGAAGTAGTGTCTAGAGATTCTGCATGTCATTTCCCCTGGAAGGGGAGGGTGGTAAGAAAAGCTCCTACTTGACCCTGGGCAGTGGACTCTAGTGGCCTTCCATAAAAGGTGTCCGAATGGGAGAGGGGGGGGGGGTAAGGAAGGAGGGTGCGGGAAGCAATCAACTCCAAAGGCCAGTGGTCTTCTCTTTCCCCTTGGTCCCTGCTCTTGGACCCAAGGTGAGATCCCCTTGTGGACTGCCCCGTCCCAGTACTCTCGTTATTCTGAGGCGGCATTATCATCATCTCCTCGTGAGTATGAGAAGAGAAAGATCTGGCCTTTCGAACCCGGGCCAGGCAGGGTGGGCAGCGGGAAGTGAGAAGCCAAATCACCGGAACGCTGCGGAAGCCTAGGGAAGTGTCAGCCCTGGGAACTGACACCCCGTCGCTTCCCACGCCGGCTCCCCATTGGCTGTGAACTCGGAGGCGGAATCCCGAGGAAGCTCCTCCCACCAGCATACTGGGGGCGTGGCCACGAACTCCTCCCACCAACCCCTTGCCTTCCCCTCCCACCCCCCTACCGCCCCCCTATCCCGCCCTCCCCTCGCCCCGCCTGGAATCGGGGATCTGGGCTCCGCACCGCACTCGGTCCTGCAGCGCCTCTAGGCTGCGGATCTGCGCTGCAACCACCTGCTTGGCTCCGCGTCCAGCCAGGGGAAGAAGCAGGGAGGAGAGATCAGGGGAGGCAGGGAGGGGGGGGGGCGCGAAGAGGCGGGAGGGAGGAGGAGGAGGAGGAGAGAGGCGGCTCACACACGCCTTCCCGACGCTCCGCTCAGAGCTGCCCCGAGCCCGCCGCTGCCCAACGCCACTGCTGCGCCGCGACCACCGCTGCCACCTGCGGAGACCCGCCGCCCCGCGCCCACCCGCGCCGTCCCCGCCGGTCCCCGCGGGCTGCCCGCTCTCCCAGCGCGTTGCAACTGCCGTTATTATTATTATCATTCGCACTAGTAGTATTATTTGAGAGAAGAAAACTAAAAGGCGCTATCCACCACCACCAGCAGCAGACCCCCCTCAAAGCCAGAAAAGAAAGAGAGAACCACGTTCACCTTTTCCGCTCTGCTCGAAAAAGAGAATCAAGAAGATCTCTGGTCCTGGCTGGAGCCGCCGAAGGGACCGAGGGCGAGCGTTGAGGGGGAGGGAGGAGGAGTTGCGGTCATTGCGTGGAAAGTTACGCGTGGCGGAGACCCGAAGGCGCAGCGCCACAGCCCCGGGGACCCGGTGTCCGAGAGAAACCGCTGTCCTCCCGCGTCGGGACCCGCGAGCGCGCGGGCACCCCGGGGTGTCATCCGGGACGGCTCCCCTACCGCGCTCCTCCCGCGGCGCGGACTCCTATCAGTGGTCCTCGGAAAGGAGGAGGAATATGGCATCCGAAGCGACCCCTTCCTGCCGTCTGGTTTTCTGCCTCTTGATCTCTGCTGCGGTCCTCAGACCAGGTGAGCGAGAGAGCCTTGGGATCAGTTCCGGATTGACCCACGCTCGGGGGTTGGGGAGGGACGACAGGTTCCTATGTCCCCCCCCCCCGGGCCGGGGCCGGGCGCCCTGGCGCGCGGAGTGGTGGGGGACGGAATGGGGAGGGGGGGAGGAGGTAAAAATATCCGCGTCCCCGCAGCCCAGATCTGGCCCCGGGGCTTAGGCACCTGTACCACATACTAGGGCTGGGCTTGGTTGGCTCAAGTTTGGGTGGAGATCAGGAACCCGGAGTAAATCTCCAGGAACTTTGGGGTGAGGTTGGGGTCGGGGCCGCTGGAGCCCACGGGTCCGATCGATCGATCGATCGGACTCGTCTCCCACTCCCGGATCCCCCGTAGTAGCCCCCAACGAGGTGGCGGACTCCGTCTCCTACTGACAATCCTCGAGCCCCCAGGGTATCCGAGTCCGCGTCACTGCGCTTCAAGCACTTTTCCTTTCGCTTAGCTCTGGGTGGAAATAACTAACTGCCCGCACTCCCCGCCCCCCCCCCAGCCCTGGATAAATCCACTGGTAACTTCCCCTTGATAAAAGATGAGTAGGACATAGGGGAGGAGGTGGAAGGGGTGGAGAAGGACTTTAATCATTCCCTTAAAAATACATAAACTAATGCTTAAATCGAAGTTCCATTGTCTGGTGGGCGGCGAATAGGGGTGATGGGTGATGGCAGGCAAATAAACGCACTCTGGGCTGGAAATTAGCAGCTAGGTGAGTGAGACATCGCCCCCAGCTCTCCAAGTAAGGGGACGGTGGATTTCCAGCCGCAAAGACATCGCCTTGGTTCTCGCTTCTATACTAAACCTTCGAGGGCAAGGGAGACAACCCCTAAAATACCTCGCGCGGGGAATCCCTTCCCTCATCCCCAGGGACGTCCCCTGGTCGTGGTATTCTCTGAACCGCCAGGCAGCTGGCTCGAGTGCGTCCCAGCCTGGCGTTTGAGCGCTCACAAGTCACTTGACAGAACAGCAGGTTCCTGTATTCCCTGCGTGCGTGTGTGTGTGTGTGTGTGTACTTTGAAGTTTTGTTATGGTTTTTTAAAATTTTTCATTTCTTAGTAGATACTTGCCAATTTACTGTTATTTGGGATTCGGTTGGTTCCTTATCATGTCTTTAGTTTTTAATCTTTTTATTCCTGTCTGTCCTTTGGCAAACTGAGGCCCCAGAAGAGATTTCAAAGCCTGTGAATCTCTCCCAGGAAATAGGGAAAAGTAAAGGCTGGGGACTAGAGACTGGAAAAGAGATCACAAGTGCTTGTGAGCCACACTATAGCTTGGGGCTCCTCTGAGTGTGTGTGTGTGTGTGTGTGTGTGTGTGTGTGTGTGTGTGTGTGTGAGAGAGAGAGAGAGAGAGGGGGGGGGGGGGGGGGAGGGAGAGGGCGCTCAGGGTGTGGGGGAGGGGCTGCCCTCTCAGATCTCTTTATTAAAGTTACATTTCTGGGTGAGGTAATGAGCTCACCTGCTTTTTCTGAGGCTGTGAAAGGCGTTAGCTCAGGGGCGGGGACCTGAAACCCGAGTTGAAACGGATTTACAACAGGCGGGGCCCAGGTTTAAAAAAAAAAATCCAAAACGATCTTTTTTAGATCTAGCTTAGTGAGAATTTCACTTTTTCGTGCTGCCCAGGGTGGATTAGGAAAAGACGGACTTGAAGGAACCCAAGGAGAGAATCTAGAAGAGAGGATGAGGCAGTGTGAGAAATGTCCAGATCCCTACGCCCACAGTTGCGGTTCCGTTTAACTCTCTCTCGCCTGGGAGCCTGTAATCTCTCCCACACCTCCCCCACCTTCCTCCACCCCCCCCCCAACCACACACACCCCGTTTTGTTTTGCGTGCGGTCGCGCTGGAATGTGTTTTCAGTTGGCCACGTCGGAGAACAGGTTTTTCCTTAACATCTAACTGCCCCAAAGGGGAGAGAGCTTCCTCTTTCAGACCTTTCTTTGAGTGCGCGATCCTCGCTGCGGGCTCGCGTGGTCGCGCTCACCGGGCGAGTGGGGTGCGCTCTCGCCCCGCAGCCAACCACCGCTAATCTAAGGGGCGGATGTCACACCAGCCCTCACCTTCCCCTCTCCCTGACAGCCTCCGCGGCCATTGTGCGAACTTTTGCGGTGGCAGTGTCCGCCTGTTGTCCAAAGAAAGATCAGGACGCTCAGGGGCGCCTGGGCTCCACTCAGCTCCAGTCCTGGACGGCAAGTGCGCCTAGCAAGGCAGGTTGCGAGCAACACGGTGCCAAAGGCTGGCTTCATTCCCCGGGGCTGGCTTCCCTGGCTCCCTCCCTCCATTTCCGGAGCAATTTTAATAGTGTGTGTCCACGACGGGGGCGGGAAGTGGGGGTAGGGGGGAGTTCTTTTCGAGTTGGTGAGCCTGCTTCTGCAGGTCTTTTGGCCAGTAGTCAGTACTGTGAAGCATTGCTGTAATTTTAAGCTTGCCTTGCTCCGAAGGGAAGACAGAGAATGTGTCTACACCACAAAACCTGAATATAAAGATCAAGGCAATGAAGTGTGTGCCCCGCATGCTAGGGAGCAAAAAATCTCATTATTCTTGTAGAAAGAGCGTCAGCCTGTGGTGACATTTTGTATTGCTTTAAAGAAAGCTTTCTTTGATTATTTACAAGGAGGAGGGAGCTTAGCAGTTAACTGTTTCTTCCCTGGGGTCATTGGTGTACACTCTTCTCTTGGATTTTTTTTTTTCATCACTGCTCACTGAAATTTTAACATTTCTTCCCAGACATAAGCATGCATAAAACTGTTTAGAGTGTGATAGTGTGTTTGGAAACTAGCACTCAACAGACGTTGGGGAAAGCAACAATTCAAATAATGTCCCTTCAGATATTTAGGTACACTACTATAATTTATTAATTCCCAAATTATAAACTACTTAGTAACATCCACACATATATGTATTCCTTGATTTATTTAATCCAGTAGCAATTTGCCATGTAATGAAGTACTACTTGCAGTAAATTGCTTTGCTGGACTTGGCTCAGGACCATCTACCTTCAGGCACATAAGCAAGTCATTTAACCTTTGGAGCCATAGCTTTCTCATGTGGGAAGTAAAAGGACCAACCAAGCATCTGTGTTAGAAATATCCTTCAACTCACTCCTTGTTTCTACTATTTTAAGATTAAAAAAAAAATCAACTACGGCAGTCAGGGCCATTTTCCAATAGTGTTTTTCTAATAATTTTCTACACAAGTTTGTATAAACTGTATTAATAGAAAAGGGCCAGTGTATTCCAATTTGTGTGTGTGTGTGTTTGTGCGCGCGCGCGCGCGTGTGTTAGTACTTGGTTTGAACTCAAGGCCTCACACTGCTAGAAAAGATCCCTAACTGCTGAGCCATTACACATCTGTTTTGCTTAAGTTATTTTTGAGACCAGGGACTCACTTCTTGCTTAGGCATTGGCCTGGGCAATGATCTAATTTTAAGCTTTTCACTGTTGCTTAGCTAACAGCTGCCAGAAACTCCCTCTGTTAAGCTGGAGTCTTGCAGATTTTTCTGCCTGGGCTGGCCTCTAACCTCAATCATCCCATTTTCAGCATCTTAAATAGCTAGGATTAGAAGTCTGAGCCAAAAGTGCTGAATAATATATATATATATATATATATATATGTATATATATATATGTATATGTATGTAAACACACATACACACACACACACACACTTTGTATTTTGTGCTTACTCTTCCAAGTTTGACCAGGCTTAGCCTTTAAACAAATTACCTTGATAAAGAGGATTTATATTCTCTTGGGAAAAGAGACGTCAAATTGGGAAAGGTCTTCACATCTCAGAATATACTGTTTGTGTAACCTACCCATCCTGAGAGGGTATTTTATCTGCTAATGTAGTACCCAGAGTGACACAAATGCTGTTGGTACTGAAGTGTCCATGTGACAAAGTCTCAATTGAGCACCTTAAGATTGTTCCTAGGATGTAGAACAAAATGGAAAACAACACAGACATACACACTCACACACACACACACAACTCCTTTTTGTTTGAAGGCATATAGAAATCCAAAATATTTTTTTTTTTATTGTAAAGATACTATACAGAGGGTTACAGTTACATGAGTGAGGTAATGAGTATACTTCCTCTTGAACATTGTTAGCCCCTCCATTGTTTT